TTATTTTACATTTATACCCTTATGTTTTCTTATGGCATCTAGTTCTCATTTTAATTTTATTTTATCAACTTCATATTCTACAAAATATAAAAAAATGAAAAATTTCGAAGTTATTGAATATCCTTTAAATGAAGAAGAACTTAATAAATGGACAATTCCTAAAATAGAAAAATCTACATTATATAAAATCAAAACATTTGACTTTAAAGTAAAATCATCTGTTAAAACTATAGAACAATTAATAACTATAAATAGAACTGAAAACTTTATACCATTATTATCTAGAGAAGATCCAAATACTTATTTTCTAAATTATAAATATATTCATATAAGACTAATTCAATTAACATTCAAATCGTTAACCTTAAGAGGATTAAATAATTCTATCCTTGCCTACTTAAAAGATGTCAAATGTCTAATTTGGGCTTAATCTTTAATAGGAGTTTTAGAAACAAGTTTATATCATGGTCCAATTTATTTTAATAAATATCCAAATTTAAGCTTATATTCAACATATATAAATTGTTTGAAGTAGCAAAATTACAAATGCAAATGCATGGTTATGATTTTTTGCAAGGATCTGAAACAATCGCCATAATATATAGAATTCAATTTAAAAGTATTGAATACGTGATGTCCTAACATAAAGAAAACAGCTCAACCTACAGATAAAACCACTTTATTTGAAACTAATTTACTTGCTTCTAATTTAACAACAAATAAAGTTATTAAATGGAATGAAGTAGCTTTTCCAGACTCTTGGGTGATACCTTTGGGAGTTAATCCTAAACCAATTAAAACTAAGAAATAAATCAAGTCATTCAAAATACAGATGGAGAAGTTAAAATAAGATATAACCCTAGAAGATCGATATCGCTAGCTAGAAGATATATACCATCGACTCAAAATCGTTCATCTTCTGTATCAATTTTTGAAAGAATAAAAATGAAGATATAATTAATGAACCCATAAATAATATCCAATTAAATTCACATCAAATTTTACACTCAATTAGAGATCATTCTTCTGCCACTCCTTCATAAATGAACTTTAATTTTAAATGAATTACGAAATAGGAAGGATAGCTCATGCCATTGTGATCCATAATTATTTATCTCCTAAATATTCTAATTTCTAAAAAATGGTTTAGAAAAAAATCTAAAAGAAAAAGAAAGAGAAGAATTTTCTAATACTTAATTTATATCAATGACTAAAACAATTAGAAAAGCTATTATTCCTTTTGCTAATTGATTTACAAAAAAATATATAAGAAATATAAAACTTAATATGATAAATATAACATAAAAAATTAATTAAGATGAATCAGTTTATTTATCCTCCTGCAAAATCTAGTATTATAATAAATAATGAAAATTTAGAACTAACTGCCTTTGAAAAATTAAATTTTGAAGCCCAAGCATTAACAAAATTTATTATAATTATTAAACAATTAAAATTATCTAATAGCATGCTCTAAATTATCTCAGACCATCTTAGTCAACTAGAAAATAAAATTGACCAAATAAAACAATCAATTAAAAAATTAACAAAATATGAAATTCCTAATTTAAAAGAATTTATAAAAGAAACTTATGTCATTGTTAAACTTATATTCATAAAAAATCTAGTAATTTAACCAAACCATTAATTTAATTATAATTTTTGTCATAATTAACAAAATTTTGCAGAATTAGTACAAAAATTTAAATATTTACATATTATAGCCTTCAATGAAATATCTTTCTCCGAATTTTATGAAAAATCAATCTCATAAGATGAAATAGAAAAAAACCTTAAAATTCTAAAATTCCCTCCAAAGTCAACCAACTTTAGAATTTAATAAACTAAAATACCATAGAAAACTATTAAATCATTATAATTATAATAGACCTACCCTTATGGGTATTCTTTACGTAGAAGAAGCTTTGAAATACCAACAACAATATGATGCTTGCTAAGTATATGAATAGAATATTGATGGATTTTCTGATCAACAAGTTAGAGAAACTATCCATAAAATGTAAATATATTCCACAATAACATAATTTTGACAAAATATGACTTTTAAGATAGCCAAAATGATCACTTGTAGGTTTATCAAAATTCTAGAAGGCTGGTGGGTCAATTTTATGATAGAAGAACAAAAATTTTTTTTTGTTAAGTGAAACAAAATTAGAAGATGTCACTATTTCAAGCACTAAAACTGCTTATCTTTTAATTATTAATACCTTAGAACATTTTACTAGAACATATAAAGATAGAAGAGAACAAATTAGATCATTATTACAAAAATTAAATATTCTACTTTTAAACATTTTTAGATGGTATAAAGATATTTTTCTTTGAAGAGCAGTGATTTACGTAAAAGCAAATCATATTTATGGGAAACAAAAAATTTATGGAATGACTTCCTAATTTATTTGCAAAAGAGTTAAGAAAACTCTTAGAAATTAGCAAACACATACGATTATTTATGAACATATCACTTATGGCAGAATGATTAATGTGTGCATTCAGACCGATCTTAAACTATACTTTGATATTAAACTTAATAAACCACCTAAAAGAGAAAGAATTCTAGAAAATTAATAATTCAGAGAATTCTATAAACAATTTGCCTGTGAAGCATCCCCCTTTAAAGAGAATAAAAAAAGAAAATATTAGTTAATGAAAAGAAATTTGATAAAAATCGATATTATAGAAAATAATCTAAATGACATAAAAAAAACTTTGAAAGATCGTACCAACGAGATATTCCTTTTGGTTTAAAAAAAATATTGAAAAGAAAAAGAAACGTAAAGACAAAGACATCAAGTGTATCGATGCAAAAAATTTGGGCATTATTCCAATAAATGTATTTTAGGAAAAAAGCTATATGAATTAAAAATTCATGAAGGATTAAAATAAACCTTAATGAAGGTACTGTTAGATTCTTCTGAATCTAAAAGTTCTTATAGTGAAAATGATTCTACCTCTAATCCTATTTTGAGTTTTGATAATGAAGAACAATTTTGTTGTGGAAAATGTAGTGATAATAATTATTATAAATCAATTATCAAAATGATTGGTTTATTCACTTTATCAGATGAAAAAAAAAACAATTAACTAATGTTTCTAATTTTAAAACTAGAGAAAAAATATTAGGCATTTTTAAACGAGAAGAAGGAAAAATGTTATTTGTAGAATTCCTATAAAAGTGAAAATGTTTAAATTTCCAAAGAACCTTTTCAATATTAGCAGTTACTAAAAATTCCAAAAAAGCAAAAATTTAAATATTATGAACCCTCCACAAAAATTTTAATTTTTTTACGGGGGAGAGGGTCATCCAATCCGCTAATGTTCCAGACAAGGATGTTAAACATGTTGTAGCAAATTCCCTCTCTTAGAACCTCTAGTGAGGGTACATTGTGAAGCACCATTAAAACAGGAACCATCTTTTGTATTAATTAAGTTTTCCTCACTGAAGTGCAATAGTTCATTAACTCTTTTTTTCCTATTAGATTTTTGAATCATCCCTTCATCCTCAAGTTTTGAGAGAGCCCCTTGAAGTGCATGAGGTTCATTTTTATTTGTGTTACTCCCTGCACCCCCCTGAAACATAGCCACAGGTTCAAACAAGCCATCATCCCTACAGTTTTCCATAGCCTTGTCAAAAAAGACACCCCTATTATCAGCAACCACACCAAGAGTATCAACATCCCCAACATCCACCACCTCATTGAGAGGGGAAGCTTTGGCACCCTTGGAGGCAAAAATATCATCCCTTTTAGTCTCACTTACTTTCAAGTCCGATGTAGGAGATAACATTGAGAATCAGAGTGGTTAAACATTCTACAATTGGAATAGTATGGCCCATGTTGCTTTAAAACCACTTTCTATAAATACATATTATGGGAAGAACCTTAATATCTTGCTCTACCAAGACCCTAGCTGCAGCAGGTATAATGATAAAAAAGGTAGGGAAGTCTATCTTAAGGGGTCTCCCAAAGATAGCTGCCAATTAGAAAAGGACTTGGTGATTATAGAGTTGTAGCTTTAATCCCGAAAATTTAATTCAAACAGGAACAACCGGAGGCTTCGTTTGCGAGTTAAAATCAACATACTACTTAAGGGTCTTCATCACCCCATTGTTAATTCACATAATTTTCTTAGCGAAAAGCTAATTACAGTCCTCTTTGTTAGAGAGTTGAATTAAAATATGGCAACCATCAAGCAATCCAAATTTCCATTCCCCTTTCAGCTTGAAATTCTCAAAATCCCGACTAGTTGGCTCAAGTTTTGAATGGCCATACAAGAACTTGTCCACTAAAACCAATCTACAAGAAGCCACTAAGGAGGCACATTCCACATCAGAAATAAATAAAACATGTTTATCATTTTTTTAACCAAACTTTTTAACCAAAGAAGCTTCACCTGAAACTATCAAAGCATCACGAAAGGATTGAGGAAAAACTAGAGTACGAGAAGAGACAACACTGGTCGATTTCCCTGTGGCCACATCAGCGAAGGAGCTGACAAATTTCCTATAGCGGACCCCAAAGACGCGATCGAGATCAAGGGAGTACACTAACGGGCGACAAAACCTTTGCAGAGCAACCAGTGACCGACAATCTCTTTTATATAAAGCTAGATTTATATATATATATATATATATATATATATA